CTAGGTCCTTGATCCACTTTGAGTTGAGTTTTGTGCATGGTGAGAAATAGGGGTTTAGTTTCATTTTGCTGCATATGGATTTCCAGTTTTCCCAGCACCATTTGTTGAAGAAGCTGTTTTTTCTCCAATATATGTTTTTGGTGCCTTTGTCTAGTATGAAATAACTGTATTTATGTGGGTTTGTCTCGACATCTTCTATTCTGTACCATTGGTCTACAAGTCTATTTTTGTGCCAATACCATGCTGTTTTGTTACTGTAGCTTTGTAATATAATTTAAGTTCTGGTATTATGAAGCCTCCTGCTTCACTCTCCTTGCTAAGGATTGCTAATTGGCAATTCTGGGTCTCTTTATTTTTCCAAATGAATTTCATGATTGCTTTTTTCTATTTCTATTTTGATGTGTTTCTGTCTGGTTTGGGTATCAGGATGTGATACTAGCCTCATATAATGAATTTGAAAGGGTTCTTTCCTTTTCTATTTCATGGAATAACTTGAGGAGTATTGATATTAATTCTTCTTTTAGGTTTTGTAAAACTCAGCTGAGAGTCCATCTGGTCCTGGGCTTTTCTTGGTTGGTAGGCTTTTGATGATGTCTTCTATTTCCTTGCTTGACATTGATCTGTTTAAGGTGTGTATGTCCTCCTGGTTCAGTTTGGGTAGGTGGTATGCCTCTAGAAATTTGTCAGTGTCTTCAAGGTTTTCTATTTTACCAGAGTATAATTTTTCAAAATAGTTTCTAATTATCTTCTGTATTTCAGTAGTGTCTGTCATGATATTTCCTTTTTTAGCAAAATTTTAGTAATTTGAGTTTTCTCTCTCCTTTTTTTTTTTAAAATATTTTTTAGTTGTAGGTGAACACAATACCTTTATTTTATTTTTATGTGGTGCTGAGGATCGAACCCAGTGCCTCACACATGCTAGGTAAGTGCTCTACAGCTGAACCACAACCCAGCCCCATCTCCTTCTTTTCTTTAGGGTGGCTAAGGGTTTGTCAATTTTATTTATTTTTCAAAAAACTAGGTTTTTTTTGTTTTGTCAATGTTTTGAATTATTTCTTTTCATTGATTTCTGCCCTAATTTTAGTTATTTTCTGTCTTCTTCTTTTAGTATTGGTTTGTTTCTCTTTTTTTTTTAAAGAATTTTTAATATTTCTTTTTTAGTTCTCGGCAGACACAACATCTTTGTTGGTATGTGGTGCTGAGGTTCGAACCCGGGCCGCACGCATGCCAGGCGAGCGCGCTACCTCTTGAGCCACATCCCCAGCCCATTGTTTCTCTTTTTCTAGGACTTGGAGCCATAATTTCAGGTCATTTATTTGTTGACTTTTTCTTCTTTTAATGAATGAACTCCATGAAATGAACTTTCCTCATGGTACTGCCTTCATAGTGTCCCAGAGGTTTTGATATGTTGTATTGGAGTTCTCATTTACCTCCAAGAATTTTTAATCTCCTCCCTGATGTCTTCTGTTATCCATACATCCTTCAGTAGCATATTATTTAGTTTACAGGTGTTGGAGTAGCTTCTATTTTTTATTCAATCATTGATCTCTAATTTCATTCCATTATGATCTGATATAATGCAGGGTAGTATCTCTCTTTTTTTGTATTTACTGAGACTTTCTTTGTGGCATAACATATTGTCTATTTTGGAGTAGGATCCATGTGCTGCTGAGAAAAAAGTGTATTCACTTGTTGATGGATGGAATATTCTATATATGTCTGTTAAGTCTAGATTATTGATTATTTTATTGAGTTCTATAGTTTCTTTGTTTCATTTTTGTTTGGAAGATCTATCCAGTGGTGAGAGAGGTGTGTTTAAGTCACCCAGTTTTATTGTGTTATGGTCTTTTGATTCTTGAAGTTAGAAGGGTTTGTTTGCTATAAATAGAGTCCCATTGTTTGGGGCATAGATATTTATGATTGTTATGTCTTGTTATGTATGATTCCTTTAAGTAGTATGAAATGACCTTCTTTATCTCTTTTCCCTAAGTTTGGTTTCAAGTCCAGTTTATCTGATAAAAAGAGGAAACCCTTGCTTGTTTACACGGCCCATGTGAATGATACGTTTTTTTCTCATCCTTTCACCATCAGTCTGTGGATGTCTTTTCCTATGAGTCTCTTGAAGGCAGCATATTTTTGGTCTTTTTTTAATCCAATCTGCTAGTCTGTTTTTTAATTGGTGACTTTAGGCCATTGACAGAGTTATTATTGAGACATGGTTTGTATTCCTGGTCATTTTGGTTTATTTTTGGCTTTTACCTTGCCTTGGTTTTTCCTTTGATTGGCCTTTCCTTTAGTGTAGTTCCTCCCTTGGCAGATTTTCATTGTTGTTTTTCATTTCCTCCTCCTGGAATATTTTGCCAAGAATGTTTTGTAGTGTAGGCTTTCTTACTGTAATTTTTTTTAGCTTTTGTTTATCATGGAAGGTTTTTATTTCATCATCAGATCTGAAGTTTAACTTTGCTATAAGGTTATAAGATTCTTGGTTGGCATTCATTTTCTTTCAGAGCTTGGTATGTTTTGTTCCAGGATCACCTGGCTTTGAGGGTCTGGGTTGAAAAATCTGCTGAGATCCGAATTGGTCTTCCCCTATATGTAATCTGATTCTTCTCTCTTGTGGCCTCTAAAATTCTATCCTTATTCTTTATGCCAGGCATTTTCATTATAATGTGTCTTAGTGTAGATCTGTTGTAACTGTGCATTTGCTGACCTGTAAGTCTCTTATATTGGATTTTCCAATTCATTATTCATGCTTGGGAAATTTTCTGATATTATTTCATTGAAGAGATTGTGCATTCCTTTGAAGTTTGAATCTCTGATCTTCCTCTATCCTGATAAATCTTAGATTTGCTCTTTTAATGTTATCCTATAATTCTTGGATATTCTGTTCATGGTTTCTTACCATCTTCACTGTGTTGTCAACTTTATTTTCAAGATTATATATTTTATCTTCATTGTCTGAGGTCTTGCTTCCAAGTGATCTTGTCAAGTGATCTCTTTGTTGGAGTGATCAATTTTTGCCTGTATTTTCTCCCAGATCATTTTAATTGTGTACATTTTGAATTTCTTCTCCTGTGCTATCAATGGATTATATTTTTGTAGTATCTTGATTGGTTTGGGGCACTTTCCTCACTTGTTTTTTCATGATGTCTATGTGTCTTCCTCTCTTGCAGTATAGATCTGAGGTATTGCAGCTTCTACCCTATTGTCTTTTACTGTCCCTGCAGGTTACCAATATCTTACCTTTAAGGGGGTATCAATGTTCCAGCACCCAGTATAACCAGTATGTAGCAATAAATCAATTAGCTTCTATTTTGACATTTACTGTTTTGTTGCTATAAGCAGAAATGATGAGTTTGGTTATATTCTACCATGTATATGGTCATATATATGGTCAATAGGTTTGCATAATGGTTTACAGTTTCTAATGGTACACAGGGAAGGGGATAGGATGTGAGAATATAGAGGTATTAGATTATATGGCTAGGAAAAAAGAAGTTGGCTGTTAGCAGGAGAAAAAAGAGAGTCAACCTTGTTACCTCTGCAACAGGACAATGATTGTTAGCACCCCTAGTAGAGATACCTCTGGTGCACCCAGACCCACAGGGACCTTGTTGACATTTTACCAGGTCATGATTGTTGTCCCTAGATTGAAGCCGTGATGTTATGGCTTTGGTTGCAGCTGCTTTGTCAAGCCTGTAGGTACCTTGATGTTGGGCTGTGGAGCCACACTCTGGTGAATAGGGAACCGCATGGGTACCAGGTATTCCACTCCATACAGGCATGGGGTATTCCTCTCTGCAGAGGCGGCCAGTGTTTGTGGGTCAGGCCTCTCCTGTATATATTTTTAAAAGTGATTTGAAAAGAATATAACAGGATATATTTTCAAGGAAGGTTATGGAATAATTTTTGGAAGTTTATTAGGTTAAGGTAGACTCATTTAGGTACTTTTTGGAATGGGTAATCTGCTTTTATTTATTTTTAGAAGGTCCATAGATTTTTATATTTTTTGTCAGAAGTTTTACTTATAATGAGTGGTAAGCTTGGCTTGTCTCTGCAAATTAGCTAATTTGGCATAATATTTCTGCTTTGATATTATACATTTTAAAATACAAAATGATCTGCTCAGAATGCAAACTTTGATTCTCAAGTCTTTCATTACTGTCATGTGGAAATTAATATTCCTGAGAATATGGTTTCTTTTTGTAATTTTGTCACATCATTTCTGGATTTAAGAACCTCAACTAGCCTCAAAGTGATCTTAACTCCTTCTGAAAAAGAATGAGCCATGCTTCTTAATAGAAAATTAGAGATATTAGTTTCACATTTTGAGATTTTTCCCTTTTATAAAGGGGCACTTATTCTATCACATATATTTTGTGTCTTGAATGTTGTTTCTTATCAGTTAGTTCGTCTTTTTCTTCAGATTAATTTAGTCCTGGTAGAACTTTTTCTTTATGTTGAAAGAAAATTTTTCATCCTCGTCACAAAATATCTTTTATGAAAAGATGACTACAGTTCCTGCTTTGCCTATTGTCTTTCAATAATAAGTCAAAAAGATCCCCAAGTTTCTGAATGATATTCTTCTTAACAAGTTAGTATAAAAGTTTTTAGAAATTGTTAAATAGTCTATACTTTGGCCTACATGTAAAATTTTCATTTTCAGAAGAGAGAATTAATTTGAGAAATAGATCAATAAGAATAATTTCTCATTGTTTTAGAAAATTAAATGTTTGAAATTTCTTAAAATAATATTGTTTCAATTCCTACTTGAAATTGTTATAGTTTTTATAAGGACTAGTATTGTAGTTGTCTTTTCAAAAAGAAAAATGATTTGTTTGACTTCTTATCATTCTAAAAGGAAATATACTAATTGCTCATTTCCTCTTAAGCCAAAACCTTTAAATTGGGGCATTATGTTTTTACTAGTATGGTATCCTAAGTTTAAATAAGTAAGAAAATCATAACTTCTTTTTCATATGTCGTTTACTCTGTCACAGGTTATAAAAGTTAAGATGAACAAACTACGACAAAGTTTTAGGAGAAAGAAAGACGTTTATGTTCCAGAGGCCAGTCGTCCACATCAGTGGCAGACAGATGAAGAAGGAGTTCGAACTGGAAAATGTAGCTTCCCAGTTAAGGTAAAAGCTGATGCTTATGTAAATCTATGTGATGAAAAAAAAGAAGAAGAAAAATGGCAGCCATTGTATGTGAAGACCCATTAATTAGGACAATTAAATGAGAACCCTCCAAAAATGAATTTCTTCATATTCTGCTTCAATGATGGAATTAAATGAGAAAAAATAAATTACAATTAGTGTTTTTTCTTTTTGTATTTAAATAAGAATTTTTGCTGTTATCTGCAATCAGTACAAATACATTCACTTCTGATGAGACTACTAATCCTGAAATATATAAAGAGTCTGAATTTTCAGGACTCAAATTCTTTTCAGTGAGATTCGCTTACTAAGTGATAAGGGGGTGGGAGTCTACTTTGTTAAATACAGGTTTGGTATGTTCTAGAAATCTAAGGAGAGTTAATCAGAAGAATTAAAACAAAGGGAGTTTTCTCTTTAATATTACAATTTTTAATCATATAGAGGTCACTGCTTCTGTTTCCAAGGGTAGAAAATGGTGCAGTTGCACCTTCGGAGTTGGTGGCTTGAGATTAATGGGGTTCTATTTTCTCAAGGAAATAGGAAGTGAAGATATCTGTAGAAGAGTGAGTAGAGAAGTTGTGGGTGTGAAATTGATTTTGAGGATGGTAGAACAGTCACTGTGAAGAGTAGGAGAGAAAAGCTTAGAGGAGATAACCAAGTTAACTAAAACTAGCTTCATCCTACTGTGTATGTTTAAATGCACTATAACTTGCTCATTATTAGAGTAATGATAAAGTAGTTTTCAAGCTCTGTCTTACAATTCTATCTGTGACTGTAACAGATAAATTTTTAATGGAGGAAGAAAATTAACATGACAAATGAAACATTACCTTTCCATACAAAACTTAATCTAGTGGTTCTCAAAGTGAATTCCCCAAAACCTTTTTCAGGAGTCCTTAGGTAGTCTCTTTTCCAGCCATGTGTCTGTTTGAGGTCAGACTTTCTTCATATACTTTTAATGGAAACAACATAGTGCAGCAGCTTGAATGTAGATTAAAAATATGGGAATCCAGTTTTCTTATAGTAAGCCAGATATTAAAGAGATTTTTTTATATTTATTTTTTTGGTGTAGATGGACACAACACAATGCATTTTTATTTTTACATGGTGCTAAGAATCAAACCAGCGTCCTGCCCATGCTAGGGTGAGCGCTCTACCACTGAGCTATAATCTCAGCCCAAAAAGAGATCTTTAAATGTGATTATATGGAAAATAGTTATTTTTATTAAAAATCTTATTTATGCTAACACACAATTGAGTTTATCATCATTTTTTAAGTAACATTATTGTATTTTTTATGCCTTTATTTTATTTGTTTATATTTATGTGGTGCTGAGGATTGAACCCAGAGCCTCACACATGCTAGGTAAGGAGGCACTCCACCTTGGTCCTATTATCATTTCTTTTTTTTTTTTTTTTTGTAATGCTGGGGATTGAACCCAGGGCTTTGTGCATTCAAGGCAAGCACTCTACCAACTGAGCTATATCCCTAGCCCTATTATCATTCTTTTTAAGTGAGTTAAACATTTTAGAAGTTCTTAATTTCTTGTATAGTAATTGTTATTAGCTATAACTGAGATAAACAAAACTCTTTGGGAGCCTCAAGGTAATGGGGTCTTGAGACCAAAAATTTTGAGAACTGATGATTTAAACAGTACTTTTTATCAATTAAAATAATATACTAAGAATCTATAATTGCCTAATAACATATTTTTAAGTGCTGCTATTAATTATGACTGTTAAATAAATTGGTAGAATCCAAGCCAATCCCTTGATTTATACTAAAAAATCTTAATCTTCTGATTAAATAGAACATATAACATGTTAAAATGGACCTTCTATTGGGTATATTTTGGAGGTCACATTATCTTCATATTTGAAGGCATAGAGATTAAGGAACTGAATGCATAATTCATACTTATTAGTTATATTTATAAGTTAGTTTGATTATTTTAACTCACTGTTAAATGAGATGAAAGTGTTTTCTTATCCCTTTGTTTCGTGGGCTATAACACATTTATTCAGTTGTTCGTAGGAATTATGTGCAAGTAGGATAAACCAGCTGGAGAATTGAGCATATGGATAGTAGAATTGGCATTTGTTTGTTTATCTCCTAGACCAACATTTTGTTTTATGAAATGATCTTCTAGATGGTTTAGAGGACCACACCCTTCTAAGATAAGGATTGTCATTGTGCTAGAAATTATAAGAGATATTTTAATAACAGGCATTTCTTATTTTACATGGAACTAAGAAACCATGGTGGAGAAAGTAGACCTCCTCCTACTTCTTTATTTCTAAGAGGCTAGTTCCTAATCCATCTACCATTTAATAATCTGTGACTTCAGAGGCTCTGGTTGTGGAGCAGGGGTAGAGCCTACCTAGCACATGTGAGGCACTAGGTTCAGTCCTTGGCACCATATATAAATGAATGAATGAATGAATGAATTGTGTCCATCTACAATTAAAACTATTCTTTTAAAAAAATTTTTTTAGTTGTAGATAGACAAAATATCTTTATTTTTATGTGGTCTCACGTGTGAGACAAGTGCTCTACCACTGAGCTACAATCCCAGCCCTAAAACTATTCTTTAAAATCTGTGATTTGGGGTATAAAATGTTATGCCAAACTAGAAGTTGCTACAAATAAAAATAAAATGGGAAAATAGAGATGAAATTTGAAAAATTTACTCTATACACATAAACCTGAAAAACAGGGATAAAACTGATAATATTCTTAAAATGACCAAAACTAACTCCTAAGAAACTAAAAGTAAATAGTATTAAATCTTGGAAAAAAAATTCAAAAAAAAAAAAGGAAATAGTAGGGGCTGAGGCTGTGGCTCAGTGATAGAGCGCTTGCCTAGCATGTGTGAGGCACTGGGTTCAATTCTCGGCACCATGTATAAGTAAATGAATAAAATAAAGGTCTACTCATATAAAAAAAAATTTTTAAAAAAAGAAATAGTATTAAACCTTAAAAAAAAGATAAAATTCCTGCTTTATCTATTCATAAAAGCCTTTTAAGTTTGTTTTATAAACTTATAAATTCTTTTTATATATGTATTATTTAAAAAGATATAGAACATCAAAAAAGGAGATTAGGCTAAATTAATTTATAGATATCAATATAAAGCTCTGGATAAAACATTACAAACAGAATCCAGCAACCCAGTTAAGGAATAGTTGGGTTACCATTATCTAAAGATACAAAGTTAGGAAGCAAGTAACTTTTGTATCTGGATGGGATAGTTCTTTATACACACACACACACACACACACACACACACACACACACACGATTCTTATTAGGATCAAAGGAAATGCTGAAAACGTAATAACAAGGAAAGCTAAGAAAACAATTATTTTTTATTTTCAACCTATACCATAGAGGTGTAGGCTCTTCTAACAGGGAAACTGGTTGAAGGAATGGTTATCTTATAGGCAACTAACAGTGTCAACTGTTCAAATGGTTATGATTTTTATCTTAGTTTTGTTAAGTGGTAGACCTCACTGACTGAATATTTTGAACAACCAACCTTACATTTCTGGAATCTCAACTTAATACCCACCACAATCAAGTTGAGTATATTACTTTTATTTGCTAACATTTGTTCAGAAATTTTATATCTATTTTTGAGACAGATTGACCTATAAAGTTTCCTTTCTTGTAATATCCTTGTCAGATTTTGTATTAAAAAATTGAGGCTGGATTAAGTTTTGGCAAGCCTCTGTCTACCTATGATTTGCTTCCATTGCTAGGGCATACATTTCAGTTGTTCCAGCTGAGAGCATGGGGTGTTCAGTGGAGCCCACTTCTCTTGTAGGTTCTGAACTAAGGTGAAAATAAAAAACTCATTTTGTTTAACATGTTCCAGCATTTCCTTTACTTCTTTTGAGTTGGTAGTTTCATAGGTTTGATCAGATTTAGCTTCAGTTCCCCCCATACCCAAAATATTCATTGGTGGTATATACTGTTTTCAGGAGGCACACAGGCCTGCCCTACCATGCCCAAAAGAAGTCCAAAGTTCTATTATTGGCTCTGTTAATTTATTAGTTACATGACCCCGTCTAAACCACTTAACTTTGTTGACATCTAGGGTAACATTTTTAAAGTGAATTTTTTAGGGCTGGGGTTGTGGCTCAGTGGTAGAGCACTTGCCTCACAAGTGTGAGGCACTAGGTTTCATTCTCAGCACTGCATATAAATAAATGAATAAAATAAAGGTCCATCAACAAATAAGAGAACTAAAAACTTCACTTTTTAATTTTTTTAAGAACTAAACTTATAAAATTATATTTAATACATTTGCTTATGTCATGATTTGTTTATAACTATAAATTGTACTACAAATTTATAGTTAAAAACTAGCCTATTTTAATTTGATTTCACTATTCCTCTTTGGTTAAAGATACAAAACAAGGCTTGATATTGTTTTCTGCACATCTACATACTGTATTTTCTATATAGTATAGACTATGTATATGTGATAAGATACCTTATAATTCCTTATAAATTAATGATTATAATGTTACTTTTTATTAATGCTGGGAACTGCTAATGGTACAGTGTCTCACATCAGAGCTCTGTTTCTTCTCATGGATAATATTACCAAAGTGGGGGGTTGGTATCTATTTTATAAATACTTTTTTTCAAGAATGGGAAAAAATGATTTGATTCATTCAAGAATGAAATTCCACATAATAGTTTTTCTAAGTACATTTTTGTGAATAAAAGTTCCCTTACTCAGAGGGAGTTTGGGAAAGGAATACAGACAAAAGAAGTCCCAGTGTCAAATATTTTAGCCATTAAAGCATAAGTCAGCTGCAATTCTTCAGTGAGGTAGTGTCTCAGAGAAGAAAAAGACCTTTTTAATAATGTTTATTTCAAACAGGCAAGTTTTTCTCATAGTCTAATAAGATACAGGCTGATTTCCATCTTCACATTTCTAAAATAGATAATACAACTGAGAGTCAGTCCA